GCTGAAAGGTGTTCAAAGGAACACAGAGAGAGAGAGAGGGGAGGAGCAGATGCAAGCTTGGAATTACACCCCAGCAGACAGAGAAGAATGCATGGATTAGAGATCAAACGCAGGTTACAGACATCGTGTAACTCAAGGACGATGTAGCTTGTAGGTTACTCCGTACGTATACAGCTCGCAAGTACTCTATATATAATATATACAACACGCAAGGTACTATACAGTATAACTATGTGACATGCAAGTATGAACTATACAGCTTGTAAGTACTCCATCTATCTATACTGCGCAACGTACAAGTCCCGCATATATAGCAAGTAGAGTCAATAAGTATATTGCATTAAAGTACTATATATCAACATAAGCGCCACATATAGGATACGTACGTAACATGCAATGTCACGTGCATGTTACAGGTCCCCTGCGCAGGTGTGCAGGTGCCGTACCTGCGAGGCTAAGACGTTCCGTGGACGACTCCTCCGCCGCTTCTCTCAGTGACAGCCCGGGCAGCGGCGGCGGCGGCAGCAGCACTACGACAACGCGAGGCTAAGTGCATGGGATGTCTCATTCCCGGTGCTTGCCTGCCCGTGTGCGTGTGTGTATCGATATATGTAGGAGTGTGTGTGGGTGGGTATGTGCGTGTGTGGGGTGAGTGTCTCTGTACGTGTGTGTTTGTGTATGGGAGTGGGTGGGTATGGGTGTGCGGGTATGTTTCTGTGTGTGTATATATGGATGGGTGTGTATCTGTGTATGGGTGGGTATGTGTGCCTGTGTGTCTATATCTTCCTGCGTATGATTGATTATATCTCTCTGTATTAAAATTCGTTTGTGGGTATGTATCTGCACGTGCGCCTGTGTGTTTATATACGTGGGTGGGTGAGCGTGTTTGCGTGTTCCTACGCATATACGAGTCTGTGGGTATGCCTGCGTGCGTGTGTGTGCCTGCGCGCGTGCGTGCGCGTGCGTGTGTGTGCCTGTCCTCGGCTCTGTTCTGGGATAATCGAGGTTGACATTTAAGAGGGGCTGGGACCCGACACCACGGGGCGGTGTGTGTGTGCGCGTGTGTCCGCGCCGCCCCGTGGCCACGTGGACTCGGCGAGGAGGAGGAGCGCGCGCCCAGGAGGAGGCCTCTCGAGCGAGCAAACACAAATTCGCTGGCTTGCCTGGCAGCAGCAGTTTCAAAAAAGCGCTCGGGCATAAGCAAAGCAAGCAATAAAACACGCTCAATGGCCTCAAGTGGGGGCTCTCAATTGAGGGGGGGGGGGGGGGGGCCCAGATTTCGTGAAGAACTAAAAACAAATTCACCATCAGCCGTGGTCGATCCACCTGCTGGATGAAAGCCACACTCAAATGTTATACCACCCTTGCGATGTAACAAATATACTCCGTATAGTCTTGACAGACTGTTGGGGGAAGTGCCGTTCGCGAGCAAATATGAGGTGGGTGACCAACATCACGCCCTGCTGCCTTTGTTTCCCCGGTGGCAATGTTTTCACAGACCCACCAGGAGCTCATTTGAGGCTGAGTAGACCTAGGAGAGGGCCCATTGCCCGGTTCAGATAATCGTCGCTGGTGATCTGTGGCCGTGAGCGGGAATCGAACTCGGGTCGCCGGGTTCAGAGCGCAGCAGCGCTCACCCGCTACACTACCGCTCCCCACAAGATAACAATCCACCCAGCAGATGCACACGGCCATATTTCGTCGCTCCGTCTCTCCGTTTTTACGTGCTCTATCGAAGACGTTCCATTCCTTGGCTGCCACTCCGGTCTTCAGTATTGTTGACCGTTTGCCCATGAACATCCCCTTCAAACGACGTGTCCTAACCCAAGTCCACTTGTCTAAACAGTTTTGAATAGCAGCACCGTATGTTTAATCTGGTAATAATACATCCCAGGCACCGGTAATAATACATTCCAGGTGTGCCGCAGTACTTTCGAATTTATCAACGGACACGCAGACAATGAAATAATGTCATCAACAACAACGATAAGGGCCGTCCCATAATGACGTCACGCACCTAGGGGGGGGGGGGGGGGGGTCAGACATTTGTGACGATGTGTGGCGAGGGGGGTTTGAAAAATGTGACGTCACATAAAAATGCGTAACTTTAAATAAATATAAACACGTTCTACTTAATTAAATATACTTTTTAATAAATGTTTTCTCCTACAACATCAGAGTGCAGCGACACATTAAATACGCACTAAAATGACAATAGTTTAAAGCGATTTGAAGCATGTTTTATTTTTTGGGGGGGCAGAGCTTTGTGACGTCATATTTAGGGGGGGGGGGTCTGACTTTTTGTGACGCCGTGTGACGAAGGGGGTGGGAATCAAAAATCGTCCGAAATCGCGTGACGTCATTTATGGACGGCCCCAAACAACCGCCGTTCACCGCAAAGTGGCGGTGACGTCATTAACAAACACATGCACACACAGATATCAACATGTTGAATACACAGACACATTGAAATGAACACAGTAGACAGACATGAAAACCGACGAACCATTCCTAACTTACCAATAAAACACAGACACACAAAGATCCCCCCGTATAGGCGTAACACACTGTTGGGGCAAGTGCTGTTGACAATCGCCTATAAAGGCCGGCACGACGAGGTGGGTGGGCAGCACCACGCCCGACCGCCTTTGTCTCCCCAGTCGCGATGTTTACATACCGCACCAGGTACTCATTTCAGGCTGAGTCGACCTAGGGGAGGCCCAGGACCGGTTCAGATAATCGTCACTGGTGTTGGCCGTGAGCGGGAAACGAACCCGGGTCGCCGGGTTCATAGCGCAGCGCACTACCCGCTACACAACCGCTCCCCTACTACACACGTACTGATACACACACGTACTGATACACACGTACTGATACACACCAAACACACAACTACCCCCTCTTCGTGATTATGCCGAGCCGGGGGAGTAATTAAATCTGAGAGTTATAGGTATGCGGTTCTAATTTGAGTAGCGTTTTGATTCCGGTGCAAATTCAAAAACGTAGGGCATATTTTTTGGATTTATAGCTTTCGTGACTGCAGGGATTCATATTCTTGGTTCTTTCGGTAAAGTCACGTAGAAGGGAAATAATAAAGACAAAACATAATAAAATAAAATTCTTACGACGTTTCGGCGACAACGCAAGCAGCCGTCCTCAGGTGAAGAACAGAGCTGTCGGAAAGACAGCGTCCTAATGAACACTGCTAAGCTTGGCAGCGTATTTTAAGCTGGGTGGGAGGAGGGCATGTTCTGCCAGTTGTGTCCTTCATGAACAGCTCCATTTTGTTCAGTGAACGAATTGCACTTCACTTTAATTTTACAGTATTCACATTTATGCCAAGCCCAAATTTGCAGAACGCTTCATTACCTTATTATAACATTTCCTGAAACTACATTTCAATTGGACGTTGTAGTCAGCAAATATGAGACGAATGAGGTTTTTCCAATCTTATTATAACATTTCCTGAAACTACATTTCAATTGGACTTTATAGTCAGCAAATATGAGACGAATGAGGTTTTTCCAACATTATATATCCATTTGTTTCCCCAAACCAAGTTTCGGAAAATAAATTCTGCAGTATTCTGCTGCTGTGAACACATTTAGCAAAAGCGTGGCACTTTGCGTGACTACTCTTTTAGTATTTCCTTTGGTACATTCTTTTTGTAATCATCGTGTGGCTGTCGCTGTACATGGTATTATTTCTAAATATATTTAACATATAGCTTTGTGAGAGCTTGAATGACCGCATCAACTTCTACAGCTGAACTCTTTTTCACACTCTGCAAAGGCTAGGAAAAGATTATGGAATAGTCCGTCTATTCCATAATCTGATTAATAGTATTCAGTCGATAGTTAAGGAACATGTCCTGAGTCGTTCTTACTCACCTGGTTGATTTTCATTGTTCCCAATGATCTTCGTGAACAATTTATACTGCACGTTCAAAAATAGGTAAATATATCTGTAAACCGTCACACTCAAGTTCCGTATATATCACCTTTTTAATAGAATTACTAATGTGTAATTCCACGATTGTGGTATGTAACTTCTGTGTAAAGATTTAGTGAAAAAAACAATGATCGAACAAGTAGTCCCTCTTCTTTGATAATGTCCACAGGGATACCGTGATATGTATTCTTCATGATAAATGTATCAGTTCAATTTTCGCAGCCAATATTGCTGACATCCCGGATTTTCCTGAAGATGCTTGGCAGCGTTTCAAGAAAATAATCTAATAGCGAAATTTGTTTGTGAGAATTGTTCAACTTACCGGTGAGATAAAGCAATTGTACGTTAAATGCTTGTTCACTTGACAGTTAGTTTGGCTACGTTGGGGGGTCTGTCCAACCATACGTATCACAAATTCGGTCAGATGATCACGTGACCTAATCCAGAAATGTATATATATAAGTATCTATTCATAAGCTCACGATAAGTTCATCGAATTGTGAAAGCATAACTTTTTTCGATTCATCTATTGTACAAAAGCGAATCCGAATATTTATTTATATTTGAGGAATCCGATGAGCTATAAAGAAGGTGAGCCGGGGCGGTCCATGTGACCCCCGCAGCCGCTAGGGGCCGATACATTCAATAGAATCGTAACCAAAAAAAATCACCCTCGAAAGGAAACCGCGACAATTCATCGAATCGTCGACGCCGTTGTACATCCAAGCTCTCTCAACACGTGGCCCTATTGTTCTATGCCCCCCCCCCTCCCAGAGCAGTGGTCGCGTCCGCCCACGTGGTTGGAGGAATCCCACGAGCTATAAAGCTCTTCTGTTTCCAGATGTCCACTAATAAGTCCACGTGACCCCCGCAGCCACTAGGAGCCAATACATTCAATATAATCCTAACAAAAAAAAGAACAAATAATCCTCGAAAACGAAACCGCAACAATTAATCGAATCGTCGACGCCGCTGTACATCCAATCTCTCTTAACACGTGGCCCCATTGTTGCACACGCGCTCCCCCCCTTCCTCCCAGAGCAGTGGTCGCGTCCGCCCACGTGGTTGAAAGCGGCGCGTGGACCCGGAAGTCCGTGACGCTCCTTCACGAGTCCCGCACGCAGCCCGCATTGTTGACATTCGCGGCCTCTTTCTCCCCGCTCACGAAAGCTGCCGCAAACGCGACACGTCGCCGCCGCCGCATCCCTTGCCTTCTGTCATTAAAACTTCCCCCCTCCTCCCCAGCAGCGCCTCCAAATAACAAACAAACAACAATCGCCAGCAAACGGTCATCCCCCACCAACCCACCTATGAACCTACCACATGGCAATTGTATTTCGTAGACCGAACGCGCAGAAGCGCGCTGTGATTGGTGGACGCGGGCGCGAGGTGGGCCAACGCGCGCCTCCCGTTGGTCAGCGTCTGCGCGTGCGGCCAATGGGCACACTCTACGCTCCGCCGCGCGCTTACGCGCTCCAGTAAATACAAACGGTGGCAGCGGATAGCAACAACAGCCGCATCGACCTCCGGCGCCTTTCATCGTCGTCTTTCTCTCACCGCCGCCGCCGCCGTCGTCGTCGCCGCCGCCGCAGCCGCCGCCGCCGCTTCTCATGGAGGACTGGGCGCTGCTGTCGCTCATCGCGGCGCTACTGCTGCTGCTGCTCGGCTCGCTGGTGGGCGCGGCGCTCCACTCGGGTCTGTGCGCCGCCGTGGTGGTGCGTACCGGGTCTCCGCCCGTGCGCGGCCTCACCGTTGCCTACAAGTACCGCGTGGGGCCCTACCGACAAAGCGGCCGCCTCTACACCGAGGCGGCGAGCATCGCGCCCAGGCTGCGCTCCATAGGAGTCTACTACGACGACCCCGCGCAGGTGAGCGGGGCGGACGCTGCTTTGTTGAAGGCCTCCCGTACAGGGTTGACCGGTGTGTGTGGGTGTGTGTCCTGGGGGGGATGAGGGGTGATTGATTTTGCTGATGACCCTGGCGACCTCCGCGGGCCAGCGGCCTGGGTGGTTGTCGAGGGGTGTGGGATTGAGCGGTCAGGTACTCGTGCGGATTTCTGATGCGCCTGCTCAACAAACCGAAACACGTAGGCAATAGCTGCGGGTCACCCACTCAACAATTGAGCCATCATCTACTCATCCATCCACCTTCTTCTTGCTCGCCCAAGCCACCTGCCACCAACTCATAGTTCCAAACGCCTACCTACCCACCCAACCAACCAACTTCTCAGTCGGCCTCTCCAGGGACTCACTCGTATACTTAGTCACCTACTCATCCAGTAGCCCACCCCATACATGCCAACCCCCTTATCAGTGCCTAGCTTATTACAGGCCAATTCACACCTTATTGGTCACGCCGTGGTGCCCTTATAATTCTCAACGTTCATCATACAAAGTGGAGATCGTATTGGTGACCGGGAAGATGGAGCGATGAGCCCAGCTCGTGCACAGGAGCTGAATGGATCGTTGAAGGATGGCGACAGCGTGGGGAGTCCTCCATCCAGAAGTACCGTAGATAGATCTTGAATAATCATGATATCAATACTTGTCAACCCCTTAGTGCCTACCTTATTACAGACCAATTTAGATCTTATTGGTCACCCCGTGCCCTTATAAATCTCAACGTTCATCCTACAAAGTCCCATCACAAGGGAGAAACACAAACAAATAGACAAAAATGTTGTTGCCCGTATTGAAACGGCTGTACGCCGTATGGACCTGAAAACTCAATTTCCCTGTACAAAAATACGGGGTAAACCGTATGTGTTGACAGGTATGCCACCCCCACCTAATCATTCACATATCCATCAAATCAAACGCTTACGTACCTTCACACTCGAGCGTTTTTGCCCAACCACCTACCCACACACCTACTAACCCAATCACTAACCTACCCGATCACTTAACACCTCCCCCACACAATGTCTGCTCACCAAGTAAATTAATTTACACACTATCCAATTTCCGTTATTCCACTCATCTATTCACCTACCTGCTGACTCCCCACTCATCACCCACCCCTCCACCAGCCTACGTATCTGCTAGACCATCCCTTCTCAGCTCCAGTCCATGCGACCTCCCACGGTTCCCGTCTTTTCATAATAATCGTGAATTTTCATTCTACAAATTAATCCGCTCCACCTGATGGGCCTGATGGTAGTCACGGAAAGCAGTACCGTGGGCAGCATTGCATTCAGAATTACCCACCTACTCCCTTAACCACTCAGCCAACCGATCAACCACCCCCATCCCCATGTCCTTAAGGGTCTTACAGATCACAGTCCACGCAACAGGCTGTTGTTGAGTTTCTGCCCTTCGGGAAAGACCTTTCGTGCTGATGACACACGTAATGGGTGTGATGAGCTGCCGTGAGGTCTTTTGGGGCCAAGCTTCCACACTGCAGTATTTGGCATGTGGTTTATTGCGGCAGCTGAAAGAGCCCCTGACCACAATTTAGTGGAACCACGTGTGCCAAACTGCTGCTGGGCAGTACTTAATCTACAGCCGTTTCTCATGACGTACTTGTGACATCTGTAATTTATGTGCAACGAAGAAGGGCTATTGCCAGAAACGTCGTCTCACTATTCTAAGGCTGTGTTATTGAGGAATCCGTCGAATTCATTTGTGCGCGTAATGTTAAAATGAATGGTGTACTTAGGAAAATTTACTTAGAAATAAATAATCGGCAATTGTTTATTGTTCCTTGTTTCATATCTCGATGTAGTGGGGTCCAAATATCACGTTGGTTATTTTTCCCTATGGTTGGGAATGGGAGACATTGATACGCTCGTGCCAACATTCGCCAACGTGTGAATCGAGCTCACTGTTAATGTTCGCGCGTACGCATTAACAGCCGTGTGCGCATTAGCGCACAGAACCTGGCCTCTTGGCAGTTCAGAGTGCACGCATCACTACCTGCCCAACAGGTGCAGACGTTGCCTCAAATAGCTCGATCCATTTCCGCTCCCCTGGGCGATAATTAACTGGTAGGATCGAGCGTCGATTGCCACCTTTATAAAACGTGATCCGCATGTGTTGCGATTGACGCGTTCCGTTTAATGAATGTCAGATCTTTAGCCACGAATGCATCGTTTATACGAACTCGATCATCATGATGAGTCATGCTCCGTCAGCTGCTGGATTAAAGTCTTACCAATCCCTCGCAGTCTCTCAAAGTCTTGCGAAGCAACAGTTCATCTCGCGCCTGGACATGCGCTGATTTCATCGCTTCCGACCCAACACAACCTGTGATATTTAAGTTGCTATATTTGCTCTTGAAAGAGTCTTCAAAGTATAAAATAACCTTCCGGTGTAAAGCCATTGAGACATGTATACGCAGTTTATAATAAACACGGAACTGGCAATACACAACCGTATGGTCTCATTAACACCATCGTGTGTCCGCTGCCATAATGCCCCCCTCTTTAACCGTACAGAATTCGACAGGCATCTGCCAATGCAGCGTGTGTGTGCGCATCGTGAGGTATGCTCGCTGCCTCTTTAAGTGCCACGCTGTACAGATGACGTGATTCCTGTTGGTGAGGCCCCCTTGGCATGAGAGCTCAGCGTGCGCCCAGCTGTGGCTAAGATTGAGGCCAAGTACTGCACATATTGACCTGTTTGCGTAGTCTCTACACGCATATGCACACGCACAACCCTTTCAGACACTGCTACTCATTTATACGCCATGGAAAGAATTTCCATTGCCAACGTGCAGTGTTCATTTTTTTATGCTCTTGAAATCCGGTCAGGTGGTACTGTGGTCAAAGTTTTGGGCTCTGGTGCTGGACACTTAGGGCATTTCGGCCTGTGCCAAGCAACTTTGTAATAAAAAAAAACTAGGATGGTTGTGGTTTCACATCCTGTTTGGGATTTCATAGAAATAGTTGAGGGGGCACCTCATGATTATTTATGTATTCATATATATGAGATACAGTATAGTTATTTGAAGTGGAGGTGTTGTCCAGTGGTTAGCATACTCTGTTATCAATCCAGAAAACTTATTTTGATTCATGGCAGTGGCTGACAGCAGTGGCAAGTGATATCTCAAACGGTCCTGAGCACTGCTTTTCACCAACCCGCACTGACCAAAGTGGTGAAGTATGGTCAGACAGCCCCCGTGATCGACACTGCGTGGGGATGCCTACTTGCAATAAATAATAGAGACCCTCCACTCGGTCAACCTATTCATAATAATGATCATCATCATCATGTATGGTTTATCCCGGAGGGTGTTTCTTGATCCTCAACTTGTTTTCAAAGTTACCTGTATTGGGAAGTTTGGGAAATGTCACTAATGACTCGCATTCCAGGTTGAGGGCCCACACAGCCCTCGTTCACCCCAGGGATCTATCAAATTAGTACCACTTTGCGGCAAGTCGACAGTGAGATTGTTCCGTGGAATGGTTTATTCCCCAACCATAGGAATGTGGAATTTGCACAAAAGCCTGAGTGCTGTCGAACATATGTTGAGTGCCTCGCCGTTCTGGTTGTAACAGGACACAACAGGTAATTTTTTTTAACTATGAAGAAATAAACTCCTTAAAAAAAGTTTTAAAAAAACAACGGTTTTATTCGCAACTTCGTTTAGCTCACGGTCGAGAAGTACGTCGATGATGTGGCGCCTGCTCCCACATCAACGCTTACTTTAATTAATTGTTTATTTTATAAATGAAACTTCAATGCCAAACTTTTGTTTGTGTGGAGTGAGGGTTCCCGTAACTCGTTCACACGGAGCAGGCGCGCCTGAGACACGTGGCGCCTGCTTCTTGGGCGAGGCGATTCGAGAGTTTAGGGACCGCGGCGTTTTTGACCTCCACAAATATATAAATAATAAGGCGTCCATACAAAATATTAATTGCTTTAAAGGAGCCAATTAATTGCTTAATTGATGCCGTTTTTGATACATGCATGCATTGTCACCACATCTGAATACGTGTGCAAAATTTTGAATTGATTGGACAACATGAAGTAGGCTAAATTTGTATTACAAGATTTGACCACGACACACAGACAGGAGTCAAGTTAAGTAAAATCGTTGAAAAATTGCAGTTTCTATCGTTCGTTAGAACGAGTGTTTTTTTTGTATTTTACATTGATTCCAGCTTGATTCATTGTATATATGCCACGACGAAATCTGAGCATATGCTGGATGAATTTTAAAAAAGTTTTAAAACCATGCATTAATGCTTATTATTGTAGCGCTCCTATATCTTTGTATTCCTATGTGTTTTACAATTGTAAATGAAGCTGCAGCCAGTGTACTATTTAAGACAATGTTTAAATATACTTTTAAATGTATCCAGAAAAAGTATCACTGAGTCTCACAACTCGCTTTGAGCATTGGACTGTTTGGCCAGTTCCATTAATCAAGTGTTTGGCATGTTTAGAAACCCAAAACAGATTTGGCAAGCCCTGGTGGGTCACCCATCCGTGATGATGAAGCTTAGCTTCCGATATCTGATAAGATCGGATGCATTTAGATGGAGTGTTTTGATCGTAGGCATGACATCTTATGGATGGTTGTGAATGGTTATTTGCACCCATTCAATAGTTCCATTTCAATGGAGCACAATTGTCCAGTAATATAAAACCAGTTTGAATATACTGTATTACACAAGCAAATGTAATGAAAAGTGACCATACTGGGGGTGCTTTAAATGATTTTTGGTTATTGTTTCCGTCTTGTACTTACTCTCACACTGTGCTGCAGTCTGCTCAGATCAATGATTACAAGCCCAGGGCCCCCTTTAGCCCCACTTCTGGCCACTTGCCATGTGTGACTTTCTGACTGCGCACAGCGGTTTGGTCAATACGGGAAAGTGCATTTTTTTACTGCTTTATGCACGTGGCATCACAAGCTTAAGATC